TTTTTATGGATATGTCTCGAGGAGACGAATCCAACAGAACATTTTATGAATCAATCCGATTTATATGTTTCAAGCTATGACGATTTTAAATATTAAAATTTGTAACTTTGACCCATAAAATAAACTCAATTCAAAAGTGATTTCATAAGATTAGAAATATTAATCTTGGACACTTGACAACACCATATTTATCATTTGGATTTAATCCATATATTTATATCCCATTCATATTATTAAATTGATTTATGACTGAGACAGACCTGAACACTGAGAAAAATAAAAGTTCTCAGAAAAATATTTCGATTACATCAAAATTCTAGTTTTGACAGTCTGATTCCAAAAACACAATCCGTTTTCAATTTGGAACAATTTGGGCGAAAAGGCACGTACCGTTTGGAATAAACTGTTCAGTTTTGGCAAAAAGCCAAAACTTAAATTATCAAATCTCTTCCAAATCATGGACCAGCCCCTCCTAGCCTCACTTTTGCTCCACTAGCCACCTAAAGTCTCTCCCTACATAATACTTCCAAAGTATTATGTTAGAATACTCCACCACCACAATTATCTTCATTATCATCATGTTCCACCATCATCACCGTCATCTCATCTCTCCCCTCTCCATTCTCTCACTGTCGGAAACTTCAAGGAGAGAAGAAAACACCCTCCTCCATAGATGGTTCAAGGAAGAAGGAGAAACAAGAAGAAACCATCCATAGTTTCCAAATCATGAGTTCCAAACGCAGCATCAACCTCTACGTAAGTTCTGTAATTTTCCATCCATTATCTCGAAATACCTTTTGAACCAAAGTTGTATCCCCGGACGATACGAATCCATCCCAACAAACGGCTCGCAATTTCGTTAAGTAACGAAGAAGATATGGGCAAAATACCGGGACTGCGCCAGTGGTGGCGAGCTCCTCGGGTTAGACCATTTTCTTCACCAAATTCATATTGTTTCATTCCAAATACTCACCATAAACTCTCTAACGACTATTAGGAACATCCGGAAGGTAACGTAGAGAAGGTTCGGTGTTGGAATATTGAAATGGATAAGTTGATCGTCGGAAACGCCGTTCGTCGGAACATCCAAAATCCTGGCAGCACCTATTAGTCCACTTGTGAGCTATATTTGACTACTTAAAGTTCATTATTTTAACATGGTTTCTTCACGAAAGTTATAGCCTTACATCTTAGGAATCCACAGAATCAAACTGTTTGTAATTCCGTGAAGAAACGATGGAGATATGCTCAAAGTACCGCAGGCTGTTCAGTTGTGACGGGAATGACAAAGTGAATTTCGATGTTGTTTCCACTCTCGCTCATCCGTAAGGTTTCGGCCGATGATTTCCAGGTCTGTACCTTTGCATTAGACTTGTCGAATCATTCATCACATACGTACATGAACATATATGTTAATCCATATGTTGAAATCATCCCAAAATATATATGTGATGCATATATAAGTCATCTATATGTTGAGATCAAAATACACCAAATCCATAAAGTTAATATACACATAAGTAAATATAAACTTTGGAAATCAACCCAACAATATGTATATGTTAATCAAAGGTGTTTAAAAGACTTAAAAAAGTATTTTGGACACTCAAAATATTAAGAGAAAGAGTCGCAGACCCAAACGGTCGACGCAAACGGTCGACCGTCGTATTAAACTTCGAAACGGACCACAACTGTCAGCAGAATGGTCAACCGCCGTCGGCGAACGGTCGACCGCCGCCAACCAGCCAAAGTCCGCCATCCGCAGCCAGTCAACAACGGTCGACCGTCACGCCAAACGGTCGACCGTTCCGAGCCCCATAGCTTAATTAAATGATATTTTTATCATATTTCACCCAAATAAAATAAAGTATATTTATCCATTCATATTATTTACAAATTGTTCATATCATATGACTCATATCATCACACATATTGTAGCATATCATATCATATGCATGCGTAAGAGATCATGCGTAATTGCGTCTCGTATAGCTGTGATTGTGCGGGACTTAGCAGTCCGACATCACTGACCGGGCTTAGTGTACGTACATGGTATTCAGGCTTTCGAGTACCACCCCTATTTTTCTAGTCTCCCTTGTGAGACTAAGGCCGCTGAGTTCGTCGTACCAAATGGGCGAATTTCACAATGCAAGGGTCGTCCTTGTTGACTTAGAATCATGCATCATGTCATCATCATCAAGTACATTGATTACATAGGTGTCATGTAATCATCATCAAGAACAAATATATTGATTACATAGGTTTCATGTAATCATCATCAAGAACAATTATATCTATTACATAGGTGTCATGTAATCATCCTCAC